GGGGGGGGGGATAGGGTTAGAAGGCAAGGTTATAGTTCATCATTCTTCAACACTGGCTTCTGTCGTGGAGGCTGCTCCTCCTGTTCAGATTCTGTTAGGAATTGGGGAGACAAGGGAACGAAAGCAGATGAAGTGGAGGCAATGCCTCAGTTCTATGCAGGTACTTCCCCCAGACCCCACCTGGCTTCCTGGCATACCCCCCACTGTACCCTCACCTGCTCTAGGACCTTCTAACTCCAGAGGTTCAGTGTCTGCTGGCTCAGATCCTGCTTTGGGGAAGGAATAGTTTAGTCTGCAGAAGGGAAGAAGGGGTTAATGGAGGGTTTGGCAAACTTTTTCTGTAAAGAGCCAGAGAGTAAATATTTTGGGATTTGTGGGCTACACTCAGTCTCTGCATATTTTTTTTTTTTTTTTTTTAAATAACCTCTTGGACTGTCCAGAAACAGGCTGCACCTGCCAGTTTGCCAACCCCTAGGCTAAGCGATGTCCATAGTCTGTTTCCCCAACTCACGAATTTCTTTCTCAGGTTCTGAAAGGGGCTTTGCATCTTCAGTCTGGCCTGGAGGAAACCAAGAGTAAAATGTACTCCAGAAGGGAAAGGAGGCTTTCTTCCCACCCAGTGGCTCCCGGAGCCAGGCACCCTGACCTCACCTGGTGGATGGATGATCTTCTCCCCCTGGTCACTGGCATTGAGTGGAGGTTCTGCCTGGGTTTCATTCTTGTCCTTGGGCCTGGGCCGGGGCTTGGCAAACTTGGCTTTGTTGAGCAGATACTGCACCTCACGGTCCAGAGCCATCATCTTGGCCTCGATGTCTTTGGAGAGCAACACTGGTTTCTCTGTAGTGGGAAGCTTGGCCTGCTCGGCCATCGTTGCATTCTTCCAGGCCTGTGGGTGAGGCCAGCACAGGCTCAGAGCTAACAATGGAGATAGCAGACATCTCTGTCCCAGACGAAATACACCCCAAACTGGCCTCAGGTTCTTCCCTCAGACTTCAAATCACTCTGCCACCTCTGGTCATCAGCCCCACAGGAGTAAATCAGACTCCTCAGATTGGCACTCCAGGCTCTCCAAAAGGGAGTCTCAAACTACATGTTTCTGGCTTAAATCCTATTGCTTTGTGACTAACTACAGCTGAATCTCTCAATTATTTCCTTCTTGTCTCTTCATTTCAGGACTCTGGTTCAAAAACTATCCCTACACATCCAAAGTTTCCACCTCACATGACAACTCATTCTCACCTATCCAAACCCTGGGCCACTTTCTGAGCCAGCTCTCGCCCTAGCTCCTCAAGGGACCTTTCTCTAACCTCACAGGGATGGATTGTTGCTCACGGCTCTGACCCTTATTTAGGACTAATCAGACATGGCCTCAAATGCAACCATCCTTTGCCTTCCCAATTAGCTAAGCCAGGAGGTGGAGGCCTGCAGAGTCTCCACTTCTCCTGCACTGCCTAGGATGGAACACTTTGCCAGGTAAGTACCCAGTTAAGTATTTACACAGGGATTACCCAGGTCTCATTGATGACTTTCTCTAAGGTTGTCATCTCCACCTCAGTGAAGATCTGGTCCATCTCTGGGATAAGCCGGGCCCCCCTGGAAGCCAAAGGGGAGACAATCAGCTCAGGAGGAAGTGGGGCCTAGGAAGATTATGGGATCGAGAGTCAGTGGGCTTGGGAAGACTGAATACGGACGAAAGGGCTAAGGGGCTGCTCACTTGAGGAACATGCTGGAATGGTTGAGGAGATTATCAAGGGCAGACAGCCGCTCAGGCCACTTCTTACGCTCTTCTACCCGAAAAAACAACCCTTGGCACAGTTTCCTTAGCTCAGCCAGCTTCTCCTTCAACATCTGATGGATGGGGGGTGGGAATGGGTAGAGGTGTTGAAAGGGTAACAGGATAGCCCTGGAGCCAGCCCTGAAACCTTTTTTATGGCCTCACATCCCAGCTCTTCACTTTCTCTGACCCTAGAAGGAGAGAGCTCCCATCCCACCTGCCACATCCTAGGAGACCCCTTACCACTGTGGTGGCCCCAAAGCCCTCATCCTCCAGCCAAGTGGAAGCAGCGCTGAGTCTCCCAGAGATCTCCTGACGCTGCTCCTCAGTGGACACTTCCTGGTACTCTGGCTGGTACAGCTTGTCCTAGGGAGGTGTACACAAGCGCAAGCATGCAGCAAGCCCGAGGGCAAGCTCACGGAGTCAGACCCTCCCCAGACACAGGTCCCAGCCAAGCACGCCTCCCACCCTACCAACCTGGGTCTCAAAGATGAAAGCTTCCAAGCTGTTGGCAGCTTGCTCCCGTTCCTGCTTCTCCAGATCTCGGACTGTCAAGTCCTGAAGTCTGTGGGACAAAAGGGGAGACAGGCATGAGGGACAGGAGAGCACCCAGAGGCAGCCCTGTGCATCCTGCTCACCCTCCCCATACACACTCCTACACCCACCCACACTCACAGTCTTGACTCACTTCTGTGCTGAACGGGCCAGCTCACTCTCGGACAAGTCAGGTAGGTCCAGAACAAGCAGCTCCACTCCGATCTCCTCCACCGCCCTCTGCTTCCGAGAAGGCTTCTGCTTCTTGTCTTCCTCTGGGGCTGCAGGGACACCCTCAGGCCCTGCCTCCCCCTTGTCACTTGGCTTCTGCAGAAAGAGAAGAAGATATCAGGAAAAGCTCAGGCCCTCCTATTCTCCAGGTGGGGATCAAGGGGAAGAGACACAGGCAGGCAGCACCTGCTCTCTTAGCCTCTCGGTCCAGCCTGGAGCTTACCTGGGCCTCAGGCTTTTCCCCATTTTCTTTGTCTACGGGCTTTTCTCCCTCTGGGGCTATATTCCCCTTAGGCTCAGGTGATGGGGGCCGAGAGGTGTCTTCCACTGGGGCCTCGCCTTCCTCCCTGAGCTCCGCTTGCTCTCCAGGATCATCCTTGCTCCCCTCAGCAAGGCTTTCCTCTTCCTCCTGGAACACAATTACAAACCACAGAGGACAGTCAGGACCCATGGAGCAAGACCAGCTTAGCAATGCCAGGTCCTGTGGCTCTCTGAAGGGGCTCACAGCATGGAGACTAAGGACAAGTGTATGGAAACAGGCACTGGGATGTCTGGATGGCAGCAGTCTAGTTAGATGAAAGAAAAGGGTCTGGCGATGAAGGGAATGGGCTTGGACCTCGAGCACAGGGACAGCTCAGAGTGCAGAGCAGGGTATGGTTACTTGTCATGGGCTGAGAGAAAAGGGAGATCTATTAAATCCTAGGCAGCTGGGACACCCACCCTAACTCCCTGTCCCCACATACCATCTTCCTGGCTCTCCTGGCTCCATTCTGGCCTTACCTGGACGGTGTTGGTACCATTCTCTTTGGTATCTGGTGTGGTACCACCTCCAAACAGGCTGGAGATAGTGTTGCCAAGTTCTAGGGGAAAGAAAGTCCAAAGACTCAAAGGGACCACAGCAGTGACTCCACCTCTTAACTCAAGGGCAAAGCCTGCCCACATCCCCAATATGCACAGAAGTATCCCCACTCCCCCCCACGTGCGCGCACGTCTTACTGGTCAGAGTCGATTCCTCTTCTGGGCTGTCTTCCACCAGGGTCTCAAACACAGATTCCACCTGAAAGCAGGAATTCAAGATGAAGAAATGCGCATGTGGGCCTACTGTTCACCACAAGCTTCCTGCCACGGTGGGTCTGCCATGCACGCCCACGCCCACCACTCCCAGCAGCCTGGCTCATTCTCTCATCTGCTTTCTTCTGAAGGCTCTTGGACCAAGTAACCTCCCACTTTGATTAGAGCCCTCTGAGGACGGGGTCACAGCTCCTTTGCCCCCCAGCCCCGCAGTTCTCCACTCAACAGCAGAATGGGCCGTTATTTCCCACTGTGCTCTAAAGACCTCAGCCCTCAGAGCTGTTCTTCAAAAACTGGTTCCTCAGCCACTGTACTGATCCTAAAGTTTACAATGTCCGTAAACCTTTACAGGCTACATGAAGGGCCACCCCAAATCCCCGGTTAACTTCATTTAGAGCCAAGATTTACCCAACCCCAAAACCCTTTTCGTTTCTCATGTTTTGGAAAAGGCTGGTGGGGCTGGGCCCTCATCTGGTACACAGGGTCTCCCTCAGGGCTCACCCTGTCTAGGCTGAGGACACCACTCTCATCCAGGTTGAAGTGAGCTTTGATGCCCTTGGACTCATAGTTGGGATATTTCTTGAAGCTCTCACCCACACCTTTTAGCTTCACTGTGGTCAGATTCTGGGAGCCAAATACCCTGGTTGGGAGAAAAGAGCAGCTCAGGGAAGCCCACCCAGACTGCCTCCAGCTCTTGACTATACACACAGCCTTCTGGCATGAGACGTGGAGGCCCTCCCTTAGGACACACTCAGGAGGAAGGCAGCACCTTCCAGAGGAGATGCTTACCCCAACTCCAACCCCATCCCCACAGACAGCTTCCCCTGGGTTAGCCCTGTAGGCTCCAAGTTCTCCCTCCCAGAGCTCCCATCCTGCACCACCCCACCCCTCACCGAAGATCCTCGGGCCCCAGGAAGCCCAGGTCACCGTAGTTGACGTGGAAGCTAAAGTCATGGCTGTAGCGGTTAAAGGTGATAACCTTGCGCTGAGGATAGGGCCCCATCCGGGAGAAGAGGACACGCCTATTGTGCTTCAAGCCTCGAACTCCAGGCTCCTCCTCCACCTCCCTTGTGAACTCAACCTACACAGCAGGCAGAGGGAGAAGTAGACAAGTTCTGGGGTAAGGGTGGATGAGAAACATCGCCTGGCAGAAGCGCAAAGAGGCAGACTAGAATGGACAGAAGGGAAGATCACACTTGGAGTGCAAAGGGAGCTTGTCACCAATCAGACAGGCTAACTCACCAGGATGGGGTACATCACTGCATCTCGGACTATAAACGGCTTCACCTTGAAGGCTTTGCTGAGTGCGGCTGCCTGGTACACAGCCCCCATAGCGGCTGCCTCGTCTGCATTGATGTTTTTCCCCAGCTCCTCCCTGTCAAAGTCCCAAGCTTCAGCATTGTCTATTCTGTAGCTCCCAACCTGGCCTCCCTCACCTCAAGCCTTCCAGATGCTCAGCCCTGGAGTCCTAGCCCCCATACTCACTTGCCCACAGCCTTCAGCAGCACCTCCTGAACTTTGGGGACCCGAGTGGCCCCACCTACCAAGATCACCTGCTCAATCTCATCCTGCAGGAAGAGGAAGAATGTGACATGAGACAGCATGTATTCGACTCTCTTTAGCACTGACTCTTCCTCTAATGTTCCTGCTCCCTCCTCCCACCATCTGATCACTTTCTATCTCACCTGTCTCCTACCCCAGGCCCACCTCTGAATACCCACTCACCAAATTCATTTTGGCACTCTGGAGGGCCTGCTGCACAGGCCCAGGCACCCGCTCAAATAGGTCTGCACACAGCTCTTCAAACTCCACTCGAGTCACTTTTGCCTTGAAGTCCACGTCATCCATGAGGCCCTCAATCTGGCAGAGGATAAGGAATGTCAGAGTTCTCACCCAGGTCCTGCTTCCTGGGAGGGGAAGGCCGGAAACCAAGGGAACAGGAATTCCAAAGGATGGCAGGAGACACGGGAAGAAGGGATAGGCCACACCAGGCACAAGTAGCCTCACTCAAGATAGTGGGGGGCTCCACCCTGAGGAATATTGCCCTCAACCAGTGACATGTGCGCACCTGTGCCATGTGGTCAGCATTGGCACTCAGGACAGTTTTGAGTCGATTAGCCTCACGTAGCAGCTTGGCCATGGCACGAGGGTTCTCCCTCACATCCTTCACTCTCTGGCCCTTGCGTTGCTCATTGAAAAGTCCAGCCAGGTGCTCACGTAGCCGGAGTTCCATTTCTAGCCCCCCCAGAGTGCGGTCAAACCTGTTCAGGAAAGGTAACAGGAACAAGTGTGAGGAACACATGGGGTCCCTTCATCAACACAGGAACCTGACTCTCATCCCACATGGTGACACCTCACAATGACAGTCATCTACCCATTTATTCAACTGTAATTACTAGGCCTCAACTATGTATTTGTCTCTTGGGATGTAATTGTGAGAAGAAAAAAGATAGGGTTCCTGCAGTCAAGGAGTTTTCAATCTAGCAACCAAATAATCAAATAAATGTGAAACTTGAACCACCCCGTGTGTCATAAAGGAGAGGTAGACAATGCTATTAGAACCTATACATCAGCCCGGCCGGGTGTGGATCAGCAGTTGAGCGTCAACCTAGGATCTGAGACATTGAGGTTCGATATCGTCAGGGTACATGCCCGGGTTGCAGGCTCGATCCCCAGTCAGGGGCATGCAGGAGGCAGCTGGTCAATGACAAATCTCTCATCATTGGTGTTTCTATCTCTCCCTTCCTCTCTCTGAAATCAATAAAGATATAGTAAAAAAAAAAAAAAAAAAAAGAGTTCAGCTATTTAGATGTCAGGGAAAGTTCTGTGAAGGAGTGATGCTTAAGCTGAAACATGAAGGGTGAGCTGCAGTTAACTAGGTGAAGAGGAAGAAACAGTCTCGACAGGAAGCACATGTATAAAGATCCTGAGGTGTCCCAGTCAGCGTGGCTCAGCATTAACCCAGGAACCAGGACGGTCACTGTTTGATTCCTGGTCAGGGCACATGCCTGGGCTGCGGGCTCAATCCCCAGTGGGGGGCGTGCAGGAGGCAGCCTACTGATGACTCTCTCATCAATGTTTATTTCTCTCTATCCCTCTCCCTTCTTCTCTAAAAGTAAATAAAAACATTATTTTTTAAAAACCCTGAGATGGAAAGAAGCATGGTAAATTCCAAATGAGGGCTAGGATAGCAGAAACTCAAAGAGCAAGAGGCTCAGGGTTAGAGACAAGCACGCAGGCACAGCCTTATAGGCCAAAGTACAGGTTCGAAGCCACTGAAGGGCTTTTAAAGAAACTGGTTATAATCAGGTTGGCATTTTGAAAAGTACCCTCTGGTTACAATGTGGAGAAAGAAGTGAAAAGAGCCCACACTGGAAGCAGGAGATCGTCTTTGGAATTCTACAGGTAAGAGGTGACGGTAGCTTGAACTAGAATGGTGGGAGCGATGGATGAAAAGGATGGGTTCAAGAAACAATACAATGCAAGTGATCAGTTATTTAAGTAAACTGGAACTGACAAGACAGCACATAAAGACTGAACCTGACATCCTACCCATGGCCTACAGCCTGTGAATCTTCTTAGAAGTTCAGTTGGTTCCCTGCCTTTTAATCTTCCCAAACTGTCCTCCCTCCTCCATCTTTCCCTTGCTTTTTGGCAGAACTACCCTACAGTGGCTGATAATGCTTCAACCAGGACAGCATTCCTGCAGGGAGCAGGAAAGCGAGGCAGCTGGTCCTCTAAGAAGATACCCCCGAGCTGAGGGTCTCTCAGCAAGCAGCCTTCCTCCCAGCACCCACTTACCCCACTCCCTGGATTTGTAGTTGTGGCTGCATCCCCGCCTCCTTCGTCTTCACTGTCTGGTAGGTCACGATGGTGCATACAGTGCTGCCTGAACCCATGTCATAAAACATGATGTTCTGTAAGAGACATCAAATCAATTGTCACAGAAGCCTTATGTAACTCCAGGGTGCCTGCCTGCTTCCAAGGGGCTGCACCAACTTTCAACTAAAAGCCCAATGGTTCCAACAGCGGCTATGAGGTCTGTGCCAACGAGATGCAGGATGAGCCAAGTGGCCTCCATCCTCAGAACAAGTCACCCTGCAAGTCTGGTCAGAAGTTCCTCCCTGGCTCACCTGGGCAGTAGTATTGATATCTTTCCGACGGAAGACACCGTAGCTGAGGGCAGTGGCAGTGTTGTCATTGATGAGCTGTAGCACTTTGAGGCCAGCCATGCGAGCAGCCTGCAGCACAGCTCGGCGCTCAGCCTGATTGAAGAACGCTGGCACAGTGATCACTGCATCCTTGATGGGCTGTTCTACAGAGGACAACAGAACAGGGTTCCTACCTGCTCCAAACCTTAGATGAGGGTTCTCCATCCTTGGAACTGCTGACATTTTGGACTAGATGGGTGATTCTTTGTGGTGGGGGCGATCCTGTATATTGTAGGATGCTTGGCAGCATCCCTGGCCTCTAATCACTAAATATCAGTAGCAGCTCCCCAGTTGGGATAACCAAAAATGTCTTCAGACACAGCCAAACATTCCCTGGGAGGCAAAACTGCCCCCAATTGAGACCCTAGGGAACCTGGCCACCACTGGCCCCACCTTGGCCACTCACCTGCAAAATCTTCAGCCAGGGAACGGGAATAATTGAGAACCATGCCCAGTACCTCCTCAGGTGAGAACTGCAGCTGCCTGGGGGTGGGGGGAGGGGGCAGTAATTAGAGGCAAGGAAAGCTAGGCATTAAGGGAAGCCCACTTTTCCAGCAGAGCACTCACGGGCTGATCTGGAAGTGCACAGTGTGCCTCTGTGGGTCGAAGCCTAACTCGTGCTCTGGGAAACGGTCTCTGTAAAGGGCTACATGGGGGTTACCCTCCTGCTTCCCCAGGAGCTGCTGGAAGTAACGCAGCGTGGCCTTGGGATTCTTGACGGCCTGAGAGGAGGTAAAGAAGGAACACAGCATTAAGCTTCCATGCCCACCATAACCTACCTCTTACATCAGAGTTTGAAAAGGGAACAGATTCTGGGTCTGTCACCTCCTCTCCTCTGCTCACCACTTCTGGGAAGGGAGTGGGCTGCTAGCTCACCAGGCTTGCTGCACTGTCTCCAAAGAATCTTTCATTTTCTTTCAGGGTCACAGTCACTGGGGTTTTCCTCCGGGATTCCCTAAGGAAGAGAAATTGGGTGCAGGTGCCTATTATAGCAGGGTGTGGACCCGGGAGCCTCAATACCACACACACAACCAATCACCCAAACACCAAAGTCTGTTGTGGACACTTCAAAGAACACACAGCAGCTTAGAGCCCAGACTCCCTGTTTCCCCACCCCAGGCACTGGGGCTGCCCTCACTTGTTCAAGACAATTTCCATGGGCACTCCAGGTTTGACGATGGCCACCTTCATGGACTCGCTGCCCAGGTCCACAGACATCACTGCCAGCATGTCTGAAGGGGAAATACGTTTGTCAATGAGCCCCCCTTTCCCCACCATCCTGAGGCTCCTCTGATCAAAGCACACCATTTTCCACGGAGAAAGTAAGACAATAAAAGACATAAAGAAAAAGGCCTGAGTCCAGCAGCTCTAGAGTCTTTATCACCCCTTCCCACCATGTATCATTCATCATTCACTCATTTATTCCTCCGTTCATCCCTGTGCTGGGGTACACACCACTCAGGGCCAATAGGTCTGCCAAGAGCACAGCCATCAAGGCCCAATAGGCTAGCCTCCTCTGCGTCCTGACCGTGGCTGCCATTGCACCCCTGGGGAGGAGAAAAACAACACTTGTAACTGGATGCCCCGGAGACAACCTCATCCCAAAACAGAGAAGCTTTAAGATTCATACCTACTCCACTCTCATCCAGGGCAGAGCAGTCTACATCCCGCCCCCCCTCCAGACGAGGACTGAGCCCCTAATCGCCCCCGGAAGTGCCCACACAAAGACCCAGGTGAACTAGCAAGGACGGGACAAGAGGACCAGACACTTCCTATCGCACAGGCAGTGACTCCCGCACCACTGCACTGGCCCTGCTGGCTGACACCCTGCTGTGCCCAGGGATCCCCGCCCAGGTCGCAACCACCTCTCCACACCTGCAGCTCCCCCGCCGGCACGGAGAGCCAGGCCGTGCCTGGGAGGGAACTGAGCCGGTGACGTTGAGGGGGCTGGGAGGTTAGAAGGGCCTGTCTGCTCCTCGGCATCCCTTCGGGTTGCGGCCCCAGCCCCGCTGCCTACAGAGGCTGTGCGCGGAACGCCAGGTTCCTCGCTCGGCGAGTACGGAGTGCCGGGAGTTCACCTGAGCCTCACCTCTCGCCGCCGCAAACGGGTCCCGGCCCACCCCGATGGCGTGGGGCGCCCAGGAGCAAGCTGTGGGCAGCCAGGCGCCCCGGTGTCCGTGCGGCCCTCGCTCCCCCCCGACCCTCTCCCGGAGCTGGCGCGCTGCCTCCCCGCAGGAGGGAT